GAGGTGTAACAGCTCACAGTGGGTCAGAGTACCCAGAGTACTGCAGTACTGCAATAAAGTATTTAAAAGTAATTTTGGTATTGGGTCTGATTGATGATGTTTGATGATTAGCGGCTGACTCTACCACGGAAATCTGACCACACAGTACTGAAGCCACGCCATTGGTCCTCCTGTGGTAGCTCTGGGTGGGGGTCAGCACCTGCTGCTCCAGGATCAGATCTGCTTTCAGTTGCTGCTCTTTGCTGCTGCTCACCTGAGACCAGTTACGACTGTGTGTACATTCAAAAACAGAACAAAGACCTTTTCGTTCACCGTCTGTGTGCTGCAGACGTTACAACAGGTTAAATAAGCAGATCCAAGCTCGCTGTATCTCTCATGTTAATGAGCCAAAGTGCAAACTGTTCAGGTCTCACTGGGTCAGCTTGTTTATGTGCCCTGCAGCTAACATCATCAGAGATTATGAGCTAATTTGAGATTTGGATTATCTGTTTATCATCCATAAGAGACCCACCTTACTGTAAACATCATCTTTGCACATGTGCATATTTACATGAGTATGTAAACAGATCCTGGAGCGTTAGCTTTTATCGATGTTTGTGAGCCAACAGGTGAGTGGGGGTGTGGCCAAAGTCAGCACTGTAGTCAAGATGCCAGGTTAGCTTCTGTTTGACTGCATTTGTTAATGACAACAGGGAACTGTTGTTCTCTCCGGCTTCCCCCAAACACATGAATAATAATATGTTTGATTTAAAGTCACCTCACCCAGAAACATGAATATAACATCAGTAAGGACAGAGGAGTCATGTGACGGGGGAAGGAAGTGTGCTCTGAGAGGCTGGGAAGTGGAGAGTGATGGACGGAGGACCTGAGAGGGCGGAGATGTGTTCAGAGAAGAACAGTAGAGACTTAAAGGTGGAGAAGCTTGAACTTGAACAGTGTTTAACCGCAGCCGGTGGAGTTGGTGGAGCACGGCTGTGACGGACTGACGGAGGAGTTCTGGTGGAGCCGGAAGCAGCAGAGCTGAGGATGAACCTGACAGCAGACCCAGGAACATGTATGCTCTCAGAAACATGCTGTGGAAAGTCATTAACTGAGTAATTTCTGGTTTTCTCCTTTCATTTCTTCTCTTTATCTTTTACTTTTAAAATGATTGAAGGTGTTTAAAAGAGGACAAATACCAATATGATCCCTGAGCTGTTTGTAATGGTTTACATTCCCAGTGCTTTCACCTTGTAAGGGTTTTAAAAAGTGGTAACGAGATCTGTTCAAGTATATTTACAGAAAACCACACAGACAAAAAAATGAACTTTGTTCTACAATCATCAGATTTAATTTCCAAGATGTAATTCCAAATAACTCCGACTTTCTACAGATGGATGATGTGCACATGTGATTAATGACATTAGTTGGACACAAATAAAATCCCTCACAGATCATACCTGATTCCCAGTTACAGTATTCCCAGTTACAGTATTCCCAGTTACAGTATCCTATGAGATAGAGCAGAACTCATGTGATTTGGTAACAGTCAGTGATGTCAGCAGAGGAAGCGTGATTTGTTTACTGGTAAGTTACCTTTCCTTCTAAATAACTGATTCTTCCATTTGTTTCATCCTGTGTCCTGAATCAGCCATAGATCAGAACTCAAACACAGTGAGGGCTTTTTTTCTTCGTGCCTTTGGAAATCAGTGTTTGCAACAAGCAGAAGAAGAAGAGCCGACCCTGTCAGCTGTCTTTAAGTGCATATTCTCTTTGGGGGGCGCTGACCTCCTCCCTGTAGGCGTCGCATCACCGTTAGTGATAAGACCCACCACTGAGCTATCACCACTGAATCTATTGCATGCATTGGAGATACTTGTTAAAGGCACTTCTTTATAGCAATTAGAGGAAGAAGGGGGAGACAGAAGATAGTTACCTGTCTGGTAAATATGAAGGGCGGTGGACTGAATCATGGGGCCTTCCTCTGTGGGAGTGGGTTAGGTTGAGTAGTGATACTAAATTGGGCATAGACGTGGATCTTAGTGTACATGAGTGTAAAATGTTGAGCTAGCAGCAGGCTGACTGTCAAACTGCTGGACTACACTCTTCAGGTAGTTTTCCTTGTTTCGCTCTCGGCTCTGTGTGATGTCTTCACAGGAGGACAGACTTCGTTTGGCCATCTCAGGCCCCTGTAGCCCCCCACCCATGTCCTGCTTACATGTCCTGTGGAAAAAGTTCAGAATGAACTGATAAGAAATTGATGTCCCACCTGTATTGATAAGTGATGCAGTGAAAGTGCACACAAGTTCTCTGAAGCCCAGAAGCTTTAAGAAATTCATATCACTGAACATCACAGATTTCATCTCAACAGCCGCTGCCGTCATGAATCTGGTGCAAATAGCTTTACATGAACCTCCTGTTCGTGCTCTCGGCTTCCTCTAAAGAAATCTCCCTCGGTGTGTTTGGTGAACTGACCTGCGCTCTCTGTGTATATCAGACCTGGTTACGGACCCTCCCTGTGATTGCTGTGTGGCAGGGTGAGTGGAGCTCTGGACCCCCGCCCGACTCACTGCACATATATTTATATCACTGTGGTTTCACCCTGTCGCAAATACACTTTCAACTCTTTGTTTACAAGAACTCTGTGCGTGAGTGCGTCCGTTCGCCATGACACATGGAAACAGTGGCACAGACAGGACGATGCATCTGAATGACCTCGCTGAGGATAGAAAAGCCACACGTGTAGTTGATGGGAGTTTCAGGTCACCTCCTGCAGCTTGCTTCAGTTCTCGTCTGGATTGCT